CCAAATCCAGTAGTGCTTTGAGGTAATCAGGTGCAGTACCGTGAACTGATTTGTGGGTTAATAGACAAACTTTAAAGAATATTCGTTGGTCTATAGGGAGTATGTGGGCCTTCTTATAGAAGGGAACCAAGTCCGTGGTTCTGTCTTCTATGTTATAGATGAAACGAACTGCCCCATTAAGGGTGGATCTAAGTTTGTTTAGTCTGGTCTTGGGTAGATTCATGTATAGAGAATTACAGTAATCTAACTTAGATATAACCAGTTGTTTCACCAACATCAATTTAATGCCTTCATCCAGGTAACGACCAATAGTTCTTAGGTTCATCATTGTCCAGCTACATTTCCTTTTGACATTATTGATCTGTCTTTCCATATTTAAAGTTTCATCAAATTTGACACCCAGACTCTTCCAGCTGTCTCCTTTGCACTCCGTAGGTAGAATTTCAGTGCTTCCAAATTGTAGTCTGACACTGAGTTCACACTTTTTTAGAACATGGCTCTTTCCTAACACCAATAGTTCTGTCTTACTTTCATTCAGTTTCATGTAATTCTTCACCATCCATGCTTTTATCTCTGCGAGACATTTGTTTGTTCTGTCTTGGACATCAGTGAACTGTACCACACGGTTTGGTTGAAATGAGATGTACAGTTGAGAATCATCTGCATAGAGCTGTATATCAAGACCATATTTGGCCGCAATTTTCTGGAGAGCTTTGATATAGAGGATGAAAAGAATAGGCCCCAAGAGTGATCCCTGGGGAACTCCAAACAAAAGCTCCAAGAAAGAAGAAAGAGTATCATCAATCTTGACACAGAAATGTCTTTTCTCAAGGTAGGACTTTATCCATTGCAGCGCACTTCCAGTAATTCCATAGTCTTTCATAAGCTTTTCCAATAAGACTGTGTGGTCAATGGTATCAAATGCTGCACTTAAGTCAAGAAGTACAACTATGACAACATTCCCAGCTTCAATTTCTTTGTTAAGATCATCACACATTCTTACAAGTAATGTTTCACAGCTGTGATTAGGGCGGTATCCAGATTGGACTTCTGAGTAAAGGCTATGATTCGTAAGATGGACATTGAGCTGGTTTAGTACAATTCTCTCTAGGATCTTAGAGAAGGCAGAGAGGTTAGAGACTGGTCGATAGTTACTGAGAATATCAACATCAGCATTTTCCTTTTTCAAAGTCGGCTTAATGACAGCTTTCTTCATATCCGAGGGAAAGACTCCAGTCTTCAAGGATGAGTTCAAGACGTGGAGTAAAAAAGGCGTTAGTTCATCAACACAGTTTTTAAAGAGAAATGCTGGGATCGGATCCAAGCAGCAGAACTTGTTGGACATCTTTGATACCAGGTCTTTGAGTTCATCAGCTGTTATCTCAGAGAAATTATCAAAGATGCAGTCTTTATCAAGAACATGATCTTTGTCTTTGTCTTTGTCTTTGTCTTTGTCTTTGTCTTTGTCTTTGTCTTTGTCTTTGTCTTTGTCTTTGTCTTTGTCTTTGTCTTTGTCTTTGTCTTTGTCTTTGTCTTTGTCTTTGTCTTTGTCTTTGTCTTTGTCTTTGTCTTTGTCTTTGTCTTTGTCTTTGTCTTTGTCTTTGTCTTTGTCTTTGTCTTTGTCTTTGTCTTTGTCTTTGTCTTTGTCTTTGTCTTTGTCTTTGTCTTTGTCTTTGTCTTTGTCTTTGTCTTTGTCTTTGTCTTTGTCTTTGTCTTTGTCTTTGTCTTTGTCTTTGTCTTTGTCTTTGTCTTTGTCTTTGTCTTTGTCTTTGTCTTTGTCTTTGTCTTTGTCTTTGTCTTTGTCTTTGTCTTTGTCTTTGTCTTTGTCTTTGTCTTTGTCTTTGTCTTTGTCTTTGTCTTTGTCTTTGTCTTTGTCTTTGTCTTTGTCTTTGTCTTTGTCTTTGTCTTTGTCTTTGTCTTTGTCTTTGTCTTTGTCTTTGTCTTTGTCTTTGTCTTTGTCTTTGTCTTTGTCTTTGTCTTTGTCTTTGTCTTTGTCTTTGTCTTTGTCTTTGTCTTTGTCTTTGTCTTTGTCTTTGTCTTTGTCTTTGTCTTTGTCTTTGTCTTTGTCTTTGTCTTTGTCTTTGTCTTTGTCTTTGTCTTTGTCTTTGTCTTTGTCTTTGTCTTTGTCTTTGTCTTTGTCTTTGTCTTTGTCTTTGTCTTTGTCTTTGTCTTTGTCTTTGTCTTTGTCTTTGTCTTTGTCTTTGTCTTTGTCTTTGTCTTTGTCTTTGTCTTTGTCTTTGTCTTTGTCTTTGTCTTTGTCTTTGTCTTTGTCTTTGTCTTTGTCTTTGTCTTTGTCTTTGTCTTTGTCTTTGTCTTGTCTTTGTCTTTGTCTTTGTCTTTGTCTTTGTCTTTGTCTTTGTCTTTGTCTTTGTCTTTGTCTTTGTCAGAATCTTTTCTTCCTTCTCAATGGCTTGTCTGATGGTCGCAACCTTTTCAGCGAAGAAATCTTTGAAATCTTCTGACAGTTTTACAGGATCCTTGTAATTTGGAAGGTTTTGGGTGTCATTTCCTAAAAGCCTGTTGACTTTTCTGTACAACGCTTTAGTATCCCCCGAAGAGGACCTAAGAGAGGTTTTGTGGTGAGCACATCTTTTGACAAACTCTAGTCGGGAAAACTCATTTCTTAGCTTAACATAATCAGATCTCAGGTACTCAGATCTTGTACTGTCTATATAATCTACTTTATCTTTTCTCCGCGCACGTTCAGCAGTTCTTCTCTTTCTTCTGAGAATACGAAGTTCCAGGTCTAACCAGGGCATTGGCTTCTTAGTAATCCTCTTTTTTATGTAGGGACAGTGTTTATCCATTAATTGAGTAAGCACAGTGTTGTAAAGGACGACAGCATCATTTGGGGACATGTCTTTAGGGAAGTTTGTCAGTTTTGAAATTAAAATATCTTCTTTAAACTGTTCTGTATCAATTAAATTAAAGTTTCTGTAGTTCATGAATTTAACGTCTTCTTTAGTCTTTGTCTTGATGTCTGCATCGAAGAGGACAAGGAAGTGGTCAGATTTGGTTCTTGAGGGACGGATTTCAAATGAAGTCAGTTTTTCCTTGAAGGATCTATTAGTCACTACAAGATCTAGGGTTCCACCTTGGTCATGGGTTGGCTCAAGAGGAACGTGTTGATGAAGGTCATACTCCTCCAGGAGTTGGTAGAGTTTCTTTGGGTAGTGTTCTTCAGGTTTTTCCATGTGAAAGTTGAAATCTCCAGCGATGATAGGAAAACCAGGTTTGACTGTGAGGTCTTTAAGGTAGTCTTCGAATTCTTCTAGAAAGGCACACTCCGTGTACCGAGCGTTCTTGGTATAAGGAGGCTGATACAAGTTCACAAGTCTCACAATATCTTGTTGAGATTGTAGCAGTGATTCCATCACTTGGAAGGATTTGTACTTCGTGACTTTGCTATTACATTTTAATTGGAGCACATCACGAAATAGCATAGCTATACCTCCTCCTCCTCTATGTTTTCGTGGATCCGAAAGTATATTCCAACCGAGTTCTTTGATCTCCATTATCTTAGCTGTGTTTCCATCACGAAAGAAAGTTTCTTGTACAAAACAGATGTCACAGTCAACTTCTTGAAGATGCTCTAAGACTCCGACTGTTTTGTTCACTAAGGATCTTACATTGAACGTTCCAATCCTTAAACTCTTCCTAGGCGTAGTTTGGTCTCCTTTGTCTTCTGTACGTACCAGTTTTTTGAATTCTCACATCCTGCTGTCCTATTCATGATTCCAATCCGTTCTCTTACATACGAGGGACATAGGTTGTCAGAGGCTTTGTGGGTCTTTGCTGAGTTCTTCTCAGAGTGTTTACTACTCTTGGCGCAGTTAGAGCACTTTATCTTTGTGACAATATTTTCACTCTTGCTTCTACAGTCTTTTGACTTGTGGTTTCCTGCACAGAAGAAACATGTTGGGTCTTTATCTTTGGCTTTACAGTACATGGAGTTGGCCATGTGACCAAATTCCTGGCAATGATAACATTGGATGACATGAATTCGGTCTGTAACATGGTGTTCCCTAAGGTCAATATGAACATAGTCTCTGTTTTGTCTGATTGACTCACGTACTGCTGCACTGACACGGATGACAGCCGTTTTCTCTTTATCATCGAAGAAAACCACTTTAACCGCATCGTCTTTTTCAGATGAGGACTTCAGTATTTCATTCTTTTCCAAAAGTTTCTCTAGCAGTGCCTCCTTGTTTGTGATATCAGAAGGAATATTCCGAATAGACAGTTTAGGGTCCAATTTCTTTCCTGGTTCGGACTTTGACGATACCTTGTATTTCTCTTGACTTTTAAATACTGTTTCAGCTTTCTTAAGTTGATCCTTGGTAACAAACTTGAAGGTTGCAGTATTTCCGGACACTTTATAGTTCTTCACTGGGTTGACTTTAAGGGAACCTTTCATTTCCTTTTCCTCATCTTTAGTAATGGGTTCTTCCGTTTGAGTCTTCTCCACTGTGAGTGTGTGTTTTTCTGCAAGCTTAGTTTCTTCTTGTGTTTTCTTTTCTTTGGGCAGTGTTGCTACCACTGTATTCAATAAATCTGGTAGAATTGTAGGGAGTACTTCTGCTAGTACCTCTTTGAGCTGTGTCTTTATAATTTCCTTGAAATCTGGTGATTCCTGTTTAGTAGTAGTTGTGGCTTGTTTTGTTCCTAAAACTGTTTGTGTTAGTTGAAGAGCATTCTTGGAGAAAGTGTACAAATCCTGGATAACGACAAACATATCTTTTTTGGCAAATCCAGGTAGAACGTCCTCAAATAGCGCTGATTGAACAGTTATCTTAATCTTTTTATCATTCTCATCTTTCTTACCTTTAAAAGACATTGCCGTGCAGTTTATCTTTTTCAGTTGTTCCTTCATCTTTTCCAAGTCCAACTCCATCTTTTCCATGTTATAAACCCTGCTAAAAGATCAAGGACCGAAGGGACAAATGACAAATTGTCAGTTCTTAAAAAAACTAAACAACTGTTTTGTAATAATTCGATACCTCAAATTATTTGTTATATAGTAGTGTTGAAAGTATTAAAACTTACCAAATAAAACTGTACATTATATTTTGGAGGACTTCGACGCGCCCCGCAAACTAGCATTCTTGCTTCGCATCGAAGATGGTTGCAGAGCAACGATCTGGAAGGACGTTGTCATTGTCAATCTAATTATATTATATTTATAGTTACTCATACTGGGTGGCGCTCAGCCTGTCACTCCGCCATATCTTAGATGTGTTTAATGTTTATAAACACTGAGCATGGGATCCCCAGATAATACCTTAAGTATTAGTAATGCAATGCGTCAAACCTTTTTTCCGCGATCAAATAAAGATGCAGAAATGATGTAATCGGAATTGAATTTTTTTCGAGCGCATAAAATTAAATAACATGACCTCGAATTTCTTTTCAACGTTGTCCTTTTCTGCAGTTCATCATGTTTAATTTTTTCTGCTACCCTTGACTTTGTTATTAATCTGGTGATATACAGATATAATATGGTCCAGCATGTTTCAGTTTTGGGTGCATTTTCGGGCCACACCTTTTTTTTGCCTTTAACGGAGTAATTTTACCTTATTTTTATATTCTTTTAAATTTTTGGCTACCTTAATCTGTCAATACACTTACCAAGGAACATGTGGGACCATTAAAGCATTAAAAATAGAAAAAAATATATATAATTATATATATTGGATAATTTATGCAAACTCGGCCTGTGGCTGTAGTCTATTTTTGGGTTTCACTTTCAGGCCTGCTGGGAAAATAACCATTCGTGAGCACCTATTGGGACTTTTTGCATCAACTGAGGTGTACTATTCAGGAGTTAGATGAGACAAAAAGGAACAGTTTGCAATCAAATTCATGACAAAAGGGTTTTCCTTTTGGCTCAGCGCTCCGCATGGTGGACGAGCTTATAATTTGAGGACTATTTCGGACAATGTTTGACATTTTTAAAATGATCGAGGACTTAAAATAGTTTGCTTAAGTTTTCAGAAGTCACAAACAATTCTCCCAACCCTTAATGTAAACATATTAAGAGATGAGTACCATTAAAGGAAAATTGAGGAAATTAGGAGGGTTTTTCACTGGGGCGTCTTTTTTGGGACACCCTGTATACAAAAACAGCACTGTACACTATTTTGGAGTTGAAACATAAAACAATATTATATATCAATTGCAGCAGAAGATGATGATAAATCAAAACACACTGGACTATCACGTGACTAAGTTTAAATCTCTATATAGCTCTGACGGGCAAATCAAAGCCCTAACCGGAACTCTGGCACTTTACAGTAACCCTCTAGTAGAGGGTTACTAGAGGGTACTTATAGTACTAGTACTATGACCCCAACCCTAACCCTTCTCCTAGGCTTAACCCAATCTTAACTCCAGCATCTGTGTTGCAGTATTATATTATATTGATTATTTATATGTACTAACCTATTGATTGTTCTATAGGTCCCTTTATGATTTGATCTAGTTCTCAAGAAACGGCTACGTGTTTTATTACCCACTCAAGCAGTCATTACATGGTGTCAGAAGTAAACAGTACTCAAGCTTCAAGGTTATCAGTATCATGAGCTCAGTAACAATCACGATATAGAGTTGGAAATTCCATTGTGGAGTAGTTAGAGAGGGTAGATGATTTTATCACTGCCACCATTGGAGAGTACTGCTCAGCATCGAGAAAGCTCCTAGGCTTAACCCAATCTTAACTCCAGCATCTGAAATTTTACCCACTTCCTTATTTTTCTCACGTTTCAACCTCAACTATTTACTGTCTTTTTGGTTTAAACACATTCATGATGGTAATGAATCTCCTTTTGGATTTAACCGCTGATTTGATGCATTATGATTATCTACAACTATAAGTACATTGTAATCTAGATCTATTGTTGTACTTTTTTAATTTGCTAATCCTTACGGCTTACTACTGTTATGATCGTACCGTTTTAACTTAAATGTTAAACTGGCATCAAAAGACAAAAATACTAAATGTTTATTCATTTTGCTATTATGAAACCACCAAAGGTTTTCATTCCTTGGCCCATTTTTTTCATACTCAAGTCTTCAGCCTCATTACTTTCTCCATCATCCTCAAGCACTTTAAGTTCAGGTCCCTTCTGGCGGCTGACCCTTCTGCAGTACCTTGCTGCTAAAATAACCATTGTCAGGAGTATATTCGTCACATTTCCTCTGAATCACTTCTACTATCTGAAGGTGGCGATTAGAGGGAAGTTGGTCGTTTAGCTCCGGACAGTCTATGCAACGTCTATGCAACGTCCGTGCAACAACAAAAGAACCGTCTATGCAACGTCTATGCAACGTCCCTGCACAATGAACACTCTATGCACACTCCCTGCACGGTCAGTCTATGCAACGTCTATGCAACGTCTATGCAACGTCCCTGCACAGTACCATATGAACACCGGCTACTAGCCGGCTACTAGCCGGCTAGTAGCCACTTTTGTAATAACAGCTCCTCAACTTCACATTAACAACCGGCTACTAACCGGCACTTGAAAAGTGGTCACTAGCCGGCTACTAACCGGCTACTAACCGGCTAGTAACCACCAAGTGGCTACTAACCGGCTACTAACCGGTCACTAGCCGGCTCTAAAGCAGACCTATTAGTAGCCGGTTCTAAACCGGCTACTAGCCGGCACTTGAAAAGCGGTCACTCGCCGGCTACTAACCGGCTACTAACCGGCTAGTAACCACCAAGTGGCTACTAACCGGCTACTAACCGGTCACTAGCCGGCTATTAGCCGAGCTCTAAAGCAGACCTACTAGTAGCCGGTTCCAAACCGGCTACTAGCCGGCACTTAGAAAGCGGTCACTAGCCGGCTACTCACCGGCTACTAACCGGCTAGTAACCACCAAGTGGCTACTACTAACCGGCTACTAACCGGTCACTAGCCGGCTCTTAAGCGGACCTACTAGTAGCCGGTTCCAAACCGGCTACTAGCCGGCACTTAGAAAGCGGTCACTAGCCGGCTACTAACCGGCTACTAACCGGCTAGTAACCACCAAGTGGCTACTAACCGGCTACTAACCGGTCACTAGCCGGCTCTTAAGCGGACCTACTAGCCGGCACTCGAAAAGCGGTCGCTAGCCGGCTACTAACCGGCTACTAACCGGCTAGTAACCATTAAGTGGCTACTAACCGGTCACTAGCCGGCTCTAAAGCGGACCTTCTAGTTCCAAACTTATTTGAAAGTAAGTTCCAAAATCGATTACAACATTTTTATGAAAAATAAAAAAATACTGAAAACTGATTACATTCAATTTCTTCGTGGTGGAGGAGCAGTGTAATTGTTTTTGGGCGCTAGGACGACGCCTTGGGTACAAAGGGTCCTAAGAGTGGCAAGATTACGGTTGCAGATCTCGTTTGCGAAGGTGTAAACACTAGGAAGTCTGACGTCTCGTAGTTGCAGCAGTGCGTGTTGGACACCTGGTAGGTCAACTTTTGCTGCTTCAGCGATACATCGCTTTCTTGAGAAGTGACTCCGAGAAATGTGTATCTGCTCCAGAGCGGCAGACTTTGAGAGACCAGAGTTGACTAGCTGCACAACGGCGTCGTATTCCGCTATAACCCCGTCTAAAGAAAATATCCGCCTCGTTCTGCGACCAGTAGGCAGAGCAGCAGCATTGGGAGCAGGTTGCTGATCAGTAGCAGGTTGGTGTCCAGGAGCAGCTTGCTGAGCAGGAGGTTGAGGAGAATTGGGAGCAGGTTGTTGATCAGTAACAGGTTGCTGTGCAGGAGCAGGTTGAGGAGCTGGAGGTTGAGGAGCTGGAGGTTGAGGAGCTGGAGGTTGAGGAGCTGGAGGTTGAGGAGCTGGAGGTTGAGGAGCTGGAGGTTGAGGAGCTGGAGGTTGAGGAGCTGGAGGTTGAGGAGCTGGAGGTTGAGGAGCTGGAGGTTGAGGCGGTTGAGGAGCAGCAGCGGTACGAGGAGCTAGTCCTGGAACAGTGGGAGGAGGAGGGGGTGGGGTAGGTCTTGAAGTAGAAGAGGTTCTAAGTCGGTGATTGGTGGTGGGGATAGGTCTGTTTGGTCGAATTGTGGGTGTAGAGTGCAGGGAGCACGGATCGATGTGTACTATAATCTGTAGATAATCTGGGTCCTCTCTGTAAGCGCTTCTAACAGTCCGAATGCAGGCAGTACATCTGAGGGAGGGAAGGTCGGGACTGTAAGTCCTTCTGGAGCAGATTGAGGAGATGTGACCGGTAGACCCACAGTGATCGCATTTAGGAGCAGGTGTAGGAGCGGTATATCTGTTTCTTCTGGTCTGCATGTTGATTAAGAGTAAAGAATGATGTATGGTGGTTACTAGCCGGTTAGTAGCCGGTTAGTAGCTGGCTAGTGACCGCTTTCTAAGTGCCGGCTAGTAGCCGGTTTGGAACCGGCTACTAGTAGGTAGTATGTAAGTGGTGAACAGTCTAAGTGTGTGGTTGGTTTGATTCAGAAGTCTGATCGGGACACTCTTTCACAGAGCACTTCAGATCTAGTCAAGCCCGATATTCCGTATGGTTACCCATTACTGAAAATTCACAAGCTGACTGAGACTGAAATTAGAGAGAAAAAGATTCCACCCAGTCGATTCGTGACTGATCTCTCTAGAGGAGTAACTGCAAGATCAGATAAGTTTGTTGTTTGGAAGTGGTTGGGACCTCTTGCCAGGGATTACTGTATAGATCTTGTTAAAGATTCAACTGCAGCTCTCATAAAACTCGAGGAATTGGCAGCTTCCGGACAAGTAGTCGATACTTGGATCAGCTTCAGTATTGATATTGTTTCTCTATACGATTCTCTGCAACATAGCTTGGTGATGTCAGCCTTAGATGATGCTATGGAGTCGTGTAGACCAGATTGGTCTGAGGAGTTCAGGACTTGGCTGAAGGGACTGATACAGCTTAGTTTTGATTCGGCAGTCTTGAAGAATGCAGACAACTGGTATGAGGTCGTTAACGGTGTACCCACTGGAGGTATCAATTCAGTGGATTGCGGTAACATTGCTTTGTTCTTTGTCCTAAAGAGTCTGGTTTACGACCCGGTTGTTAGACCAGAGGAGCTCAAGAACCTTGATCGGTTTGTGGATGATATTTCGGGCCAAGGTATGTGGAGAGGTTCTATGATTGGTTTTGAAGAATGGGTAGGGTCATTACGCAGTAAGATGGTTGATAACTATGGCTTAGATATTACATACGAAGTGAAACCAATCACGGAGTTCACTCAGTTCCTGGACATTCAGTACAAGTTTGTTGGAGGGAGACTCACAACAGATCTGTTTAGGAAACCTACTGACGCCAACAGGTATCTAGAATTCTCAAGTTTCCATCCACGACATACCTTCCGGAGTATAGTCTTCTCACAGGCACTTCGATACAGAAGGATAATCAATGATGACGTCTTGCTGGATGAGAGATTGGCAGAGCTTCAGTTGTTTTTTGAACGGTCTTCATATCCTACTGATATGGTGAGAGAGGTCATCAGTGATGTCAGATCGATACCAAGAACTTTACAGTACAAGGCAAAGGATCAGGGTCCCCCTTCTTTCACACCATGGATTGTTACATTCGGTGCGGGCTATGAGGAAACCAAGGAAAAGGCTAAAGAGGCCAGTAACATCATCTCAAGTAGCCGTACATGGAGCAGTGAGAACCCTGAGAGGATCCCTAAACTCCAAGTGGTGACCAGGCGAGCCCCTAACTTAAAGGACACTTTATTCAAGAGAAAGAAGCTTGCCTTAGGTTCAGAGTCAAGAACAACTGACCCATGCACCAAACCTGGCGAGAAGAAGAAAGGCAGACCCTGCCAAACTTGTCACCTTGTTAGTGGCAATTCCATGGTCTCCAATAATGGACACTCAGTCAGAACTCAAGGTGGTAACTGTAAGACACGCAACATTGTGTACGGCGCGACATGCAAACTTTGTACTGTTAATAACGTATACGTGGGAAAAACAGTCACCAGCCTCAGCCAACGTGTGAATGGTCATCGCAGTAAATATTATGAGATTTTAGAGGCGAGTAGTAAGGGGAATGTTGAGAGCCATAGAGTTTTTGATGACGAGAATGTTTTAGGGGCACATCTTTTTTCAGTTCATAATTTGAGGGAGAGATCTGTTTTCAATGAAAGTTTCCATTTTGATATTTTGTGTTCTACATCCCCAGATAATATTAGAAAGTCAGAACAGTTTTATATTAACAAATTGAAGACACTTTATCCGTTTGGCCTGAACAATGTGAATTCCGTTTCTGGAAGCTAATTTTTCATGGTGTCCCGAATTTTATTTTTAAATCGTCCATTTTTTGTTTATATATGCAGTCTATCAATTTTTGAATTGCGTCTTTTTGATTTAATGAACTACTGCAGACTCCACATTATTATAGTATATGCGATTAATTTTGTTCCGATTTTAAACTATTCCATTTTTACGAGATGCTAAATTAATTTTTTGAGACTTTACTACATTTTTGATGAGAATTTTTGACATTTTCAAACTAACCATTGATATTCTCAGATTATGTGACTGATTAAATGCTGAAGATAAAAGAAATATATTCATTTTGCTAAGATTATGTTTGCGTTTCATTGCTCAACAGCTGTTCGAAGGATCAAATATAAGAAGAGCTACTAGTAGGTCCGCTTAAGAGCCGGCTAGTGACCGGTTAGTAGCCGGTTAGTAGCCACTTGGTGGTTACTAGCCGGTTAGTAGCCGGTTAGTAGCCGGCTAGTGACCGCTTTCTAAGTGCCGGCTAGTAGCCGGTTTGGAACCGGCTACTAGTAGGTCTGCTTTAGAGCTCGGCTAATAGCCGGCTAGTGACCGCTTAGTAGCCGGTTAGTAGCCACTTTGTGGTCACTAGCCGGCTAGTAGCCGGTTAGTAGCCGGCTAGTGACCACTTTTCAAGTGCCGGTTAGTAGCCGGTTGGTAATGTGAAGTTGAGGAGCTGTTATTACAAAAGTGGCTACTAGCCGGCTAGTAGCCGGCTAGTAGCCGGCTAGTATGGTAGCCGGTGTTCATATGGTACTGTGCAGGGACGTTGCATAGACGTTGCATAGACGTTGCATAGACGTTGCATAGACTGACCGTGCAGGGAGTGTGCATAGAGTGTTCATTGTGCAGGGACGTTGCATAGACGTTGCATAGACGGTTCTTTTGTTGTTGCATGGACGTTGCATAGACGTTGCATAGACTGACCGTGCAGGGAGTGTGCATAGAGTGTTCATTGTGCAGGGACGTTGCATAGACGTTGCATAGACGGTTCTTTTGTTGTTGCATGGACGTTGCATAGACGTTGCATAGACTGTCCGGAGCTAAACGACCAAGTTGCCCGATTAGATTACGACCGTTCTGTGTACATATTATGCGTTTTGTTATATGACTATGATTAAGCTGTGGGATTGTGAAAGTAAGCTATACCAATGAATTTTTTACGCTGATTTTCGAATAAGACCTATTACGTAGCACGAAAATCATTTCTTGACGAGTTATGAGCAAATAACCATTTTTGTCAGACTCGCGCACGTGACAGGCTTGTAGTTGTTAAACTATATTTTAGCTGTTTATGCTTTAGGATTCGAGTTAATTTTGGTTTGAAAGTAAATATGAAGATTTGAAGTACAAATTTGTGCACCTTAACTTTAAATACACCATTAAAATCGAAATCATTTAAAAATGTACACAGAACGGTCGAAATCTAATCGCATCCTATCTGAAAATAAGGAACCAGTTTGTGGTTTTTGGAGTTGCAGTATTAGCGTGATCACCTCTGCTCTAAACATGGGTCTTTGTATTTTGTAAGACAACCGATAAAAACAGAGCATAGTTTTAAACTCAAATCATTCAATCTCATTGTAAAAATCAATATAAAGAATCCCCGAAATCCTTCTATGACGAAGATGTTTAAGATAATCCCTTTGGTAGTGGTACACCGTACATTGGTGTGCTGCAGTTGGAAGAACCGCGCCAGAAAGATGATTATGTGATTATCAGGGAACTGCTGTTGGTTTGAAAAAAAATCTGACAAAGATCGATTGATGGTACTGTAAAGACAACATCGTGGTTCAGTAATCAAAAGGGTCAACAGCTGGATTACTGTTAGTGTTAGTGTTACTGGGCGGCGCTCAGCCTGTCATCCCGCCGAATCTCTATATGTTTATGAACATGTTTTTGAACATTATAGCTGCAGCTGGAGTCCCCAGGTAAAATTACTGCAGTCGTTAAGGGCCAAAGTCGGGATATTTTGTTTTCCATGCAACCAACGAATCCGTGGCCATTAAATGATTAATTGCAAACCGAATTATTAACCTTCGGATAAAACAGTTTTATTCCGAAGAGCATGAGATTTTTGGGTCAAACAATTCTAAACAAAATTTAATTTGTCCAAATTTTAACTGACCCGGGTTAAAATTGTACAGTAACCCTGAAGAGCAAAACTGATGTAGAAGCTGCTGCATTTATTCGATTTTAATTGCTCAAGATGGCAAAATGTAGATAAAATGGCTGCAACTCATTACAATGTCAATACAGTGCGAACTGTACGTAATGATAGAAAATTAAATGTACACACAATTAAGAATTAACTAAAAGCTACATGAAACACTCCTTGCTTCTCGCCGACCGATTTGCCTACTTGCTTACTTGAATCCCGTAATAAAACCTCACGGCGGCGGTGGTGTAACACATAATGTAACTGGTCATGTTATTACAAGTACACGTGACATAATGATAACCATCACAAGTACACACACCTCCCAGTACAACATGACGTACTGTACAGTGTGTACTGTGTGATGATGATCCCCGCTATAAACTGCCGTGAGCTGATGAGAGTGAGAATTGCACATGTGGACACCACCACAACACTAAGATCAGGGCTCCCTCTCTCCACGTCTCTAATATTCTACATCTCTCTTGTTTATACGTGTCGTCTCCACGTCTCAAATACTCTACATCTCTCGTGTTTATACGTTTCGTCTCCTGACATTTGTTGTATCTCCTTGTTCTGGATTGCAGTACTTAGTCCCTGCTGGATTGTTGTACCTAGTCCCAGCTGGATCTCGACATTTTCACCGCCTGATCGTAGATTTTCAACACCTTCAAACAGTTCTCAGCATCTCACATTCGCGCAACGATCACTGTTGCTTGGCAACTGTATAAGACTCGAGGCTTGTCCCGCAGCACGTGCAGTTTTACATTGCGCGCATTTCCACGTGCAGCAGTATGGTGAGATTTGAAGATGAGGATGATGCACCCCTGTTAGGGAGGGTAATACCAAACCCTGGCATCTTGAAAATGAAGAAGATCAGACTCTGGATAGCGGTTATTATTGTGGTTACTGTGGTCGGGGCTTTGTTCTTGGTAACCAGTACGAAGATTCATAATCAGAGCAGGGCGTACATGATCGGCCAGTACAGAGTTAAAGACACTAAGGTACAGTTTAATATATAAGAATTATTATTGGCCGCAACTGCAAGATTACCACGGCTAGAATTGTTTTGTTAAATTTTTGTAGAGACTTTGTTAAGGGTTAGACTTACAAATGCTACATTTTACAGCATTATATTTCCAATATTGAATACTTTTCGGATATTTCCACATTTATTTTTCATCTGGATTCAAGATATGGCCATTATCCAAGCTGTAATTCAACTTGAATACTTCAGAAATCCACAAGTACTGATACTGATTACTGATAAACGATTAATGCCATTATTTTTTTTGATTAAGTCGATCATAAACATTTGAACTGGGATTCCGAGCATAAGATTGAATTTTAAACTGAAATTACAGGATGAGGACAAACCTCTGGATAACGAGGGAAATCAGGTTATGGCCGAGTTGAATACTTAAGAAATTGTTTAATAGACAGTTTATACCATTTTTATTAAAAATCAAGTCGATCGCAAACATTTGAAATGGGACCGTGAGTATAAGATTATAACGTTAACTTAAATTGCAGGTTGAAGATAGACCTTTGTATAGCGAAGGAGGATTCAACGACTTTGTTGGGATTAACGAGACGGACCCACACGGTCCCAAACTGATAGGAGTCAAGCATGTGTCGAAGAGCAAAAACGAGGGGAAGAGTTCGGACGACGACTTTTTGCTGTTTGAAGCCACTGTTGAGATCTTGGACAACAAGATGCACTACAGGTCGGTAATGGATTGCTGTTATTTTAATTTGAAAGACAGTCCGTGAACACGAATGGACATACCGTTTAAACTTTAAAAGGCTCATTTTGTTCTAAAAATGAAATGGCATAATATCTTTGTATAAGTTCTGGTAGTGGTAGTTAGGTCAAACACGGTCGTAATTCTTTCTAGCGTCTAGATCTATACAAATTAATTGAACATTTTGACCTCTAACTTATAACTAATTCAATCGTCTAATATATCGTCCATAAGATACAGTAAACCCAAATAGATCTTCGAAAAACTCAATTTAGAGGCCTAAAAATGATTGATGTTCATTAGGTAATTAGTTTTTAGCTTTTAATATTTCAGGAAGGCCAGTAATGGTTGGGTTCCTAAACTAAACGTGATTAGTTTTTAGCTTTTAATATTTCAGGGAGGCCAGTAATGGTTGGGTTCCTGAACTAAACGTGATTAGTTTTTAGCTTTTAATATTTCAGGGAGGCCAGTAATGGTTGGGTTCCTAAACTAAACGTAATAAGTTTTTAGCTTTTAATATTTCAGGGAGGCCAGTAATGGTTGGGTTCCTAAACTAAACGTAATTAGTTTTTAGCTTTTAATATTTCAGGGAGGCCAGTAATGGTTGGGTTCCTAAACTAAACGTGATTAGTTTTTAGCTTTTAATATTTCAGGGAGGCCAGTAATGGTTGGGTTCCTAAACTAAACGTGATTAGTTTTTAGCTTTTAATATTTCAGGGACGCAAGCTGTAATGGTTGGGTTCCTAAACTAAACGTGATTAGTTTTTAGCTTTTAATATTTCAGGGAGGCTAGTAATGGTTGGGTTCCTAAACTAAACGTGATTAGTTTTTAGCTTTTAATATTTCAGGGAGGCCAGTAATGGTTGGGTTCCTAAACTAAACGTGATTAGTTTTTAGCTTTTAATATTTCAGGGAGGCTAGTAATGGTTGGGTTCCTAAACTAAACGTGATTAGTTTTTAGCTTTTAATATTTCAGGAAGGCTAGTAATGGTTGGGTTCCTAAACTAAACGTGATTAGTTTTTAGCTTTTAATATTTCAGGGAGGCTAGTAATGGTTGGGTTCCTAAACTAAACGTGATTAGTTTTTAGCTTTTAATATTTCAGGGAGGCCAGTAATGGTTGGGTTCCTAAACTAAACGTGATTAGTTTTTAGCTCTTAATATTTCAGGGAGGCCAGTAATGGTTGGGTTCCTAAACTAAACGTGATTAGTTTTTAGCTCTTAATATTTCAGGGAGGCCAGTAATGGTTGGGTTCCTAAACTAAACGTGATTAGTTTTTAGCTTTTAATATTTCAGGGAGGCCAGCTGTAATGGTTGGGTTCCTAAACTAAACGTGATTAGTTTTTAGCTTTTAATATTTCAGGGAGGCGAGTAATGGTTGGGTTCCTAAACTAAACGTAATTAGTTTTTAGCTTTTAATATTTCAGGGAGGCCAGTAATGGTTGGGTTCCTAAACTAAACGTGATTAGTTTTTAGCTTTTAATATTTCAGGGAGGCCAGCTGTAATGGTTGGGTTCCTAAACTAAACGTGATTAGTTTTTAGCTTTTAATATTTCAGGGAGGCCAGCTGTAATGGTTGGGTTCCTAAACTAAACGTGATTAGTTTTTAGCTTTTAATATTTCAGGGAGGCTAGTAATGGTTGGGTTCCTAAACTAAACGTGATTAGTTTTTAGCTTTTAATATTTCAGGGAGGCCAGTAATGGTTGGGTTCCTAAACTAAACGTGATTAGTTTTTAGCTCTTAATATTTCAGGGAGGCCAGTAATGGTTGGGTTCCTAAACTAAACGTGATTAGTTTTTAGCTCTTAATATTTCAGGGAGGCCAGTAATGGTTGGGTTCCTAAACTAAACGTGATTAGTTTTTAGCTTTTAATATTTCAGGGAGGCCAGCTGTAATGGTTGGGTTCCTAAACTAAACGTGATTAGTTTTTAGCTTTTAATATTTCAGGGAGGCCAGTAATGGTTGGGTTCCTAAACTAAACGTGATTAGTTTTTAGCTTTTAATATTTCAGGGAGGCCAGTAATGGTTGGGTTCCTAAACTAAACGTGATTAGTTTTTAGCTTTTAATATTTCAGGGAGGCCAGTAATGGTTGGGTTCCTAAACTAAACGTGATTAGTTTTTAGCTTTTAATATTTCAGGGAGGCCAGTAATGGTTGGGTTCCTAAACTAAACGTGATTAGTTTTTAGCTTTTAATATTTCAGGGAGGCGAGTAATGGTTGGGTGCCTAAACTAAACGTGATTAGTTTTTAGCTTTTAATATGTCAGGGAGGCTAGTAATGGTTGGGTTCCTAAACTAAACGTGATTAGTTTTTAGCTTTTAATATTTCAGGGAGGCCAGTAATGGTTGGGTTCCTAAACTAAACGTGATTAGTTTTTAGCTCTTAATATTTCAGGGAGGCCAGTAATGGTTGGGTTCCTAAACTAAACGTGATTAGTTTTTAGCTTTTAATATTTCAGGGAGGCCAGCTGTAATGGTTGGGTTCATAAACTAAACGTGATTAGTTTTTAGCTTTTAATATTTCAGGGAGGCCAGTAATGGTTGGGTTCCTAAACTAAACGTGATTAGTTTTTAGCTTTTAATATTTCAGGGAGGCCAGTAATGGTTGGGTTCCTGAACTAAACGTGATTAGTTTTTAGCTTTTAATATTTCAGGGAGGCCAGTAATGGGTGGGTTCCTAAACTAAACGTGATTAGTTTTTAGCTTTTAATATTTCAGGGAGGCTAGTAATGGTTGGGTTCCTAAACTAAACGTGATTAGTTTTTAGCTTTTAATATTTCAGGGAGGCCAGTAATGGTTGGGTTCCTAAACTAAACGTGATTAGTTTTTAGCTCTTAATATTTCAGGGAGGCCAGTAATGGTTGGGTTCCTAAACTAAACGTGATTAGTTTTTAGCTTTTAATATTTCAGGGAGGCCAGCTGTAATGGTTGGGTTCCTAAACTAAACGTGATTAGTTTTTAGCTTTTAATATTTCAGGGAGGCCAGTAATGGTTGGGTTCCTAAACTAAACGTGATTAGTTTTTAGCTCTTAATATTTCAGGGAGGCCAGTAATGGTTGGGTTCCTAAACTAAACGTGATTAGTTTTTAGCTTTTAATATTTCAGGGAGGCCAGCTGTAATGGTTGGGTTCCTAAACTAAACGTGATTAGTTTTTAGCTTTTAATATTTCAGGGAGGCCAGCTGTAATGGTTGGGTTCCTAAACTAAACGTGATTAGTTTTTAGCTTTTAATATTTCAGGGAGGCTAGTAATGGTTGGGTTCCTAAACTAAACGTGATTAGTTTTTAGCTTTTAATATTTCAGGGAGGCCAGTAATGGTTGGGTTCCTAAACTAAACGTGATTAGTTTTTAGCTCTTAATATTTCAGGGAGGCCAGTAATGGTTGGGTTCCTAAACTAAACGTGATTAGTTTTTAGCTCTTAATATTTCAGGGAGGCCAGTAATGGTTGGGTTCCTAAACTAAACGTGATTAGTTTTTAGCTTTTAATATTTCAGGGAGGCCAGCTGTAATGGTTGGGTTCCTAAACTAAACGTGATTAGTTTTTAGCTTTTAATATTTCAGGGAGGCCAGTAATGGTTGGGTTCCTAAACTAAACGTGATTAGTTTTTAGCTTTTAATATTTCAGGGAGGCCAGTAATGGTTGGGTTCCTAAACTAAACGTGATTAGTTTTTAGCTTTTAATATTTCAGGGAGGCCAGTAATGGTTGGGTTCCTAAACTAAACGTGATTAGTTTTTAGCTTTTAATATTTCAGGGAGGCCAGTAATGGTTGGGTTCCTAAACTAAACGTGATTAGTTTTTAGCTTTTAATATTTCAGGGAGGCGAGTAATGGTTGGGTTCCTAAACTAAACGTGATTAGTTTTTAGCTTTTAATATTTCAGGGAGGCTAGTAATGGTTGGGTTCCTAAACTAAACGTGATTAGTTTTTAGCTTTTAATATTTCAGGGAGGCCAGTAATGGTTGGGTTCCTAAACTAAACGTGATTAGTTTTTAGCTCTTAATATTTCAGGGAGGCCAGTAATGGTTGGGTTCCTAAACTAAACGTGATTAGTTTTTAGCTTTTAATATTTCAGGGAGGCCAGCTGTAATGGTTGGGTTCCTAAACTAAACGTGATTAGTTTTTAGCTTTTAATATTTCAGGGAGGCCAGTAATGGTTGGGTTCCTAAACTAAACGTGATTAGTTTTTAGCTTTTAATATTTCAGGGAGGCCAGTAATGGTTGGGTTCCTGAACTAAACGTGATTAGTTTTTAGCTTTTAATATTTCAGGGAGGCCAGTAATGGTTGGGTTCCTAAACTAAACGTGATTAGTTTTTAGCTTTTAATATTTCAGGGAGGCTAGTAATGGTTGGGTTCCTAAACTAAACGTGATTAGTTTTTAGCTTTTAATATTTCAGGGAGGCCAGTAATGGTTGGGTTCCTAAACTAAACGTGATTAGTTTTTAGCTCTTAATATTTCAGGGAGGCCAGTAATGGTTGGGTTCCTAAACTAAACGTGATTAGTTTTTAGCTTTTAATATTTCAGGGAGGCCAGCTGTAATGGTTGGGTTCCTAAACTAAACGTGATTAGTTTTTAGCTTTTAATATTTCAGGGAGGCCAGTAATGGTTGGGTTCCTAAACTAAACGTGATTAGTTTTTAGCTTTTAATATTTCAGGGAGGCCAGTAATGGTTGGGTTCCTGGACTAAACGTGATTAGTTTTTAGCTTTTAATATTTCAGGGAGGCCAGCTGTAATGGTTGGGTTCCTAAACTAAACGTGATTAGTTTTTAGCTTTTAATATTTCAGGGAGGCCAGTAATGGTTGGGTTCCTAAACTAAACGTGATTAGTTTTTAGCTTTTAATATTTCAGGGAGGCCAGTAATGGTTGGGTTCCTGAACTAAACGTGATTAGTTTTTAGCTTTTAATATTTCAGGGAGGCCAGTAATGGTTGGGTTCCTAAACTAAACGTGATTAGTTTTTAGCTTTTAATATTTCAGGGAGGCCAGTAATGGTTGGGTTCCTAAACTAAACGTGATTAGTTTTTAGCTTTTAATATTTCAGGGAGGCCAGTAATGGTTGGGTTCCTAAACTAAACGTGATTAGTTTTTAGCTTTTAATATTTCAGGGAGGCCAGTAATGGTTGGGTTCCTAAACTAAACGTGATTAGTTTTTAAACTTTTAATATTTCAGGGAGGCCAGTAATGGTTGGGTTCCTAAACTAAACGTGATTAGTTTTTAGCTTTTAATATTTCAGGGAGGCCAGTAATGGTTGGGTTCCTAAACTAAACGTGATTAGTTTTTATCTTTTAATATTTCAGGGAGGCCAGTAATGGTTGGGTTCCTAAACTAAACGTGATTAGTTTTTAGCTTTTAATATTTCAGGGAGGCCAGTAATGGTTGGGTTCCTAAACTAAACGTGATTAGTTTTTAGCTTTTAATATTTCAGGGAGGCCAGTAATGGTTGGGTTCCTAAACTAAACGTGATATTGTTCCACGGGGAACACTTCACATCAGCCATATGGAACGATATAGGAACTCTAGAGGACCTGGCTAGTAGTGGGTACAGAGTGGTAGCTCTGGAGCTGCCGGGTCATGGACTCTCATCTCTGGATCCTAAGTTGAGACCTGCTGAGTTTATAAAACTATTCATTCAGGTCAGCATTGTCTCTTGTATAAAGATATCTTGCTTTTAGAATTGTACATTTCAAGCTTAAATATAAATAGTTTCCACGCCACTAAACACTGCCGCTGCTAACTTTGAATATTCCGCCGCCGATTTTGTAAAAACCCCCGGTATCTGTTATTACTAAAATCATGATGTAAACCTTTGTTACGTTTGAAAACAGATTACCACACCACGTCTATGACAGACATTCGAGGTTAGTATCCATGACCATAACACACGTGCTCACTGCTCAGTAGAAAGTTCATTAATTTGTCAAGTTCTAGTCTTTCCAGATTAATAGATATGGGGATGAAATTAGGGTCTCACTCACTGTAACACAAAATAGGCATGTAGCCGAAACGTGGACAATCTATTGCATGTATTTTGTTTTACAGTGAGTGGAGACTATCATTTCGTACCCAGCAGTCTATCATGATCGACTCACTCATGATGCAGAGCAAAAATCGAAACATACTTTCAAGATTAAACAGAATATTACCGCTAAAACATGATGACGACTAAACATATTCATACGACCAAATTTTTCACGGACATTGTGAAAATGTGTGGTGATTTTTTAATAAGTGGTTTACCCTTTTTCTGAACTCTAGAATCGAAGTCATGGTGATCATGGTGTTACTGTTATAACTTAAGTACTTAAACTTACTGTTATGTAAATTAAATACAGAGTGAATGTGACTGAGGAGTAATTATATTTGTCCTAGTATACTAATGTCTAATAAGCTTATATAGTAATTGGCTACACACATACCTATTACCTACGCATGTGTAGGGACACACACACTAAAATTAATGGAAATAATTACCGGACTTTATTATTCACGGACCTTATTGCCAAAGACATTATTTTCACGGACCAAATTATTCACGCTAAGGTCTTCAGCGTGAAAATAATGTCCGTGACAATTATGTCCAATAAGGTATTTGGTTTCTCTACTTTCAAGATTTCGTTGAAATTGAAAAATGCAATACAAAAATATTTCGTATCAAAATCCAGCAATTTTAGCGCTGGTTATTAAAATATATGCTCCTTCAAAAATATATCAATATATTAATCAAATCACTTCTTACTTCCCTCCCTTCTATAATAACCCATGTTTACCAAATGCTTCAAGGAAGTTGTCATGTCTCATCAGTCATGATGTTTCTGACATGACAAATTCAATGTCCGCAGCTAATAGCACGCCTCAAATTAATCAGTGCCAAGCACAACTTTAGAATACTGCCCCACCAAATCATGCCTTTACGTTAAAAACTAATTCTCGTATGATTGCCTAAAGAAATAGTACATATTAGCGATTGGTTATTATATTTTGGAATCAGTCAGAAGTCATGTCATCGAGATGATCCTAATACATGGTAACTAATCTATATTATATCTCAAATTCTACATCCGGTACGGCTCTGCACACATGATATCTCTCTCTGCCATGAAACATGGCAAACCTTTTAAACCATGATTTAAAACCTAAACCTAAACCTAAACTTAAACTCAACTGGGCTCTCCTATGTCACCAAACTAGACCAATAACCAATTTTAGATAATTATATTTTTCTATATTTGTATAATAAGTAAATTGACGTAGTGGATGGTTGAGAGGGTTTCAAGCACAGGTCACTCTCAAATCCTAAAGATAAGCAGTGGCCTTCGGCACTTGAAACCTCTTCAAACCTCCCCTGATTTATTTATTATTGATATTGTTTGATTGTGCCGTAAAAATAAATATTTGTTTTATTAAATAAATATTTGTTTTATTAATTCAAATGAATAATGTCACGATGACTCACGCCTCGGTGGTTCTCTCCAAAGTATGGGGATTTTGAAATCCCCACCATGATAAAAAATAAAAAATTTAGTTTTTGAACTCTCCATTGCCCTAAAATCGATCCCATCTCCGCCTGATTTCTCTTTCTTTTCTCTTTTTAAAGCCCCCTAATGTTGACATTGCAACCTATTGCAAGCCATTATATCTGATTTATAGAATTTAATGTTTACAGCTGAGAAATATGTTTCCACAAATGCCGTTTAGTTTATGTTTCTACAGCCATATCAACTGCGCAGAGTCTGCGGCCCATCGATCCATGCTTGATGCTATTTATAATAGCCTGTAGATATATCCTCCTGGCTTCAGTCAGAGGACCATCCAATCCTAGATATATCACCTTATGTTCAGTGGTGTAACGTTGCATTAATATTTATAAAAAATAGATTATCAATATGCAATTGAGCAATGTTTCTTCGAACACATGTACTACAAATCTCACAGTCACCATGTTACTTTTCTCAGCTCCCACTAACTATTCTAAGGGCTGAAAGGGATTTAATATAGTCTATACCATTTCAACTCTCAATGAAATTGCTCTTTTAATATTGTTCTCAAAATTAATGAAAGGCGTCGAATGGGATTGGTGTATTCTTAATGAAGATCAATCTATAGTCAGTACAGTTTTGAGGACGGTCCCTTCATTGGGCATGAAGACTTGCAGCCGATCGAAAAACAGTTCATGCTCATCAAGAATATTACATTTTGACTTCAAGTCGCTCACTACCAACAAATTTCCAGGGAGAGTTCTTGATATCTTAGTAAAAATAACATTGACACATCTTGTTTTAGAGTGCAAATGATTAACCTTCTTTTCTAGATGTTTCTTTATACTAATACTATTACTAATACCACTTGATTTAATTTCAGCACTTGGATCTGTACCGACCTGGAGTGGTCCTCTTGAGTGCAGATAGTAGCAATACTGCCACTATGGAGTACCTCATACGATACAGCAAGCACAGTCCTCTTCTTAAAGGGTAAGTCTGAGCAAGTATATGTTAGTGCCATGACCAATGTCTATCATGGAAAATTGCAAGGTATCAAATTCTCGTGGTTTCATCACGTCATGTTAACTGTTATAATACCTACCGGGAATTATATCCACTAAAATTCGTGGACACTGAGAGCTGATCATTTGCAAATATATCCCGCAAGGGAAGCGAAGGTATTATCAGCATAGACTCAGACTGGCTGTTTATTTATGGATTTACAAGCAAGGTCAGACAGGATCAGCTTCAATGCTCTTTAAAAGTCAGACTTCTTCAGGTTAAGTTTCAATCATCGGATCAGGTCAGGTTCTGAACCTGACCTGAAAGGATTTCATGAATATTCAAACATTAACAAGCCGATAACCGGGCCATAATTTAAATGCACTATCCAGTTGCTGGTGAATTTATTTGATAAAGTAAAGAAACTAAGGTGATGTTATAACGTTTGTTCTGAAGATGTAATATTTCAGGTACATCAACATAGATTCAGCAAACAATCAATACACAGATATGCAACGAATCACAGCGCAGACTATCAATGCTCAAGTTCTCTTTCTTTGTGGCGGAAAGTAAGTTGAACTTAAGTTATGAAATTAAGTTTAAAAATCTTAAATGCAGTCACTGTGCAAAGATTTTCGCATAAACTTTGTAAAAATGACCCCTGTTTAACAAAACCAGACTCTGCCTCATCATAGAATTAAATAGATATCTGGCTTTGCTGTTTTGATGAAGATATAGCATTTAGAAGTTCTAAAATATTGACGTGATTGGATGATCGAATAGAATACCGCTAGACTCTGTGAATTGAAGAGCAGTAACCCTATCTTAGCTTTACCTTTGCACTATGACTTGCAGCTCGCATTTCCTTTTGACTGATGCAGGATTTATAGCATAAAATTAAAAATAGATAAAAGCAAAAACTATATCAGCAAAGTTTTTGTCTATATTATCTTCTCTCCATAAAAGTGAACAGCTCTTTCACCAAACTGTTTATATCACTTGTATCGACATTTCACAGTCCCCATTAACAATCAACAATTCCCCAAACTGTATCCACTCTAACAGTCCACGATTCCCCAAGCAGTATTCACATTTCACACTAACAGTTCATTATTCCTGAATTCCTCAAACAGTATCTAGATCTAACCTACACTCCACTTTACTCCTCAAGCTGTATCAGGACTAACAGTCCATTACTCCGCAGGGATGCAGAGTGTTTGACAAGTTCCCACGACTGGTCACGCTACATCACCAGCTCCCGAGTACACTCCTTCTCTAACGCCTACAAGGAGTTCTATAACGAGGACCCTGTAGTTTTCAACACTGTCTTGAAGCGCTTCCTCGAGTACTTGTCCAAATCAAACGATTCGTGATGTCTCTTTTCTCACGTTTCTCACTCTCACACGACCCCGAACACCTAATTCTGATCTTGTTAATCAGACACAGACCTCAACCGTGATCAACTCTGTCGTCATGACGACACCTCCCCGCCACGTGCTCTCCACGTGCTCTCCACGTGCTCTCCACGTGCTGTGGTGGAGCGGACTATACTGACCATCACCGTTAACTAAGGTTGCTGATCCACTCCATCATCTCCTGAGTTACCCTTTATACATGATGAACTATAATCGGGTCCTCCCGATCCGGTCTTTGTGGAAACTCCCTTTTGTATCAAGCTTTTCAGGGCCACCAGCGCCTGAGGGTTGATTTTTAGATTGACGACGTAACTTAACTAGCCGAGTCTAGAAACCTTACAAAATATTAATTGATGGTACCTATTCGGTTTTAAACAGTTGACTATGTATTTAGAGACTATTTTTCGTAATTTTTGTAAAATATACAATAAATAAATTGAAGCACAAATTATTTGCTATGAACAAAATATGTTTCTATGTTTAAAAAGCAGCATTGGACTAAATATTGATCATGTCGGTCATTCTACTCGTATCCCATATCCCCTTCCAGTACAACTTTTTATGGTACCGGGGTTGTGTATGGCACTCGCGACGAGGGTGTCAAGTTGTTTGGTATTGTTGAAGTAGGTGCTGGTAGTGGAAAGAAGTCCATGAGCTTTAAGAACAGGCGAAAGGAGGAGATTGACAGCCTGATTGAAAAGAGGAAGCAGTTGAGGAGGAAGAAAAGGAAGGCAAGGAGTGAGATAGAGAAGGATGGTTATGAGGCATTATTGAGAGTGTTGGCTGGTCGTTTGATGAAGTTGAGGAGGGCTGAGAAAAGGAGACAGAAGCAGAGAGAGATAAGGAGAGTTAGAGGGGATTTTGGACGCGACCCTTTCAAGACAGTCAAGGGAGTGCTAAATCCAAGTCCAGTGGGGGAGCTTAAGTGTTCAAAGGAGGAGCTAGATGATCACTTGGCCAGAACGTACGGAGATCCAGCCCGGCAGCAGCCCCTTGGTATACTTGAGGGTCTGCCTGAGTGTGCTCCTGAACCCTCTGTTGCCTTTGACCTCACAACGGTATCCAAGAAGGAGTTTGAGGAGGTTGTAAAGAAGGCAAGGAGCAAGAGTGCCCCGGGTAACAACGGGATCCCGTACACAGTGTACAAGAGATGTCCTGGTATTGCCAAGAATCTCTGGGACCTGTTGAGAACTGGATATAAGTTAGAAGAATATCCTGACAATTGTAGGTATTTCGAGGGTGTCTACATCCCAAAGGCGGATGGCGACTTTTCACCAAGTTCAGGACGGCCTATTTCCCTGGGTAACATTCAAGGGAAGATTTATTTGGCGATCCTGGCGAAGAGGTTGACCAGCTTTGTTGTCTCGAATGGATATGTAGACCTCTCTATACAGAAGGGTGGTGTGCCAGGCGTCCGTGGGTGCACGGAGCATTTTGGTGCCATGTGGGAGGTACTGAAGGAAGCAAAGGTCAAGAAGAAGGATCTGAGTGTGGTATGGCTTGACCTGGCTAACGCTTACGGAGCGGTACCCCATGTTCTGATTGCCAGGGCCCTCCGTTTCTACAACGTCCCCGAGAAGGTTATCAACATTATCCTACGGTACTTCTCCGGGGTATTCGGAAGGTTCTCCTCAAGATCGGTGACATCAGACTGGCAGCAGTTTGAGATAGGAATCTTCATGGGGTGTGTGATATCAGTCATCTTGTTTGTCTTGTGCATGAACCTTGGGCATGAACACCTAAAGTCTAAGGTTCCGAGAAGCATTGAGTACATCAAGGATGACACACCGATACCAACTCTGAAGCTGTTTATGGACGATAGCTGTCTGACGACCGCACGTGCAGAGGATATGCAAACGTTACTCAATGTGTTTCAGAATGTATTGTTTTTTGTATATTAGAGCTTTAGCCACAGGTAGGTTGGTCTGCACGGAGCCCCACAGTTTCAATTCCTTGTTTAACTAGCCGTACAGCAAGGATATCCACTGTGCTCACCAGGTTAGGCACATAACCAACACTACCCTGCTAAAGTTAGCTATATACTATGGTTTTCTCGAAAGTATTTCCTTGTATTTGACTTTCGTCAAGAAAGTACTCTTACTTTCGGTTCAGATGTTATATAAGCTAGCCTTTATGTGGTCCGCAGGGCGGAGGAACCGCCACACACTTCTCACCCAGCTACGAATACAATGTATTGTTTTTTGTATATTAGAGCTTTAGCCACAGGTAGGTTGGTCTGCACGGAGCCCCACAGTTTCAATTCCTTGTTTAACTAGCCGTACAGCAAGGATATCCACTGTGCTCACCAGGTTAGGCACATAACCAACACTACCCTGCTAAAGTTAGCTATATACTATGGTTTTCTCGAAAGTATTTCCTTGTATTTGACTTTCGTCAAGAAAGTACTCTTACTTTCGGTTCAGATGTTATATAAGCTAGCCTTTATGTGGTCCGCAGGGCGGAGGAACCGCCACACACTTCTCACCCAGCTACGAATACAATGTATTGTTTTTTGTATATTAGAGCTTTAGCCACAGGTAGGTTGGTCTGCACGGAGCCCCACAGTTTCAATTCCTTGTTTAACTAGCCGTACAGCAAGGATATCCACTGTGCTCACCAGGTTAGGCACATAACCAACACTACCCTGCTAAAGTTAGCTATATACTATGGTTTTCTCGAAAGTATTTCCTTGTATTTGACTTTCGTCAAGAAAGTACTCTTACTTTCGGTTCAGATGTTATATAAGCTAGCCTTTATGTGGTCCGCAGGGCGGAGGAACCGCCACACACTTCTCACCCAGCTACGAATACAATGTATTGTTTTTTGTATATTAGAGCTTTAGCCACAGGTAGGTTGGTCTGCACGGAGCCCCACAGTTTCAATTCCTTGTTTAACTAGCCGTACAGCAAGGATATCCACTGTGCTCACCAGGTTAGGCACATAACCAACACTACCCTGCTAAAGTTAGCTATATACTATGGTTTTCTCGAAAGTATTTCCTTGTATTTGACTTTCGTCAAGAAAGTACTCTTACTTTCGGTTCAGATGTTATATAAGCTAGCCTTTATGTGGTCCGCAGTACGTGGACTGGTCCAGATTTAAGTTAAAGTCCTCCAAGTCCAGAGCACTGGTGCTGAAGAAGGGAGTGGCTGTGAGGTGGGTTGAGGAGGTAGTGGGAGGAGAGGAGGAGGTGGAGAGAGAAGAGTTGTGTTTGCAGTTGGGTGGTGAGGTGATTCCGAATGTGTCAGAGAAGCCGATAAAATTCCTTGGGAGATGGATAAGAGTGGAAGGAAATGACAAATCAGTCATCGACTCAACCAAGGTCGACCTTAACACTTTTCTTCGGAGACTCGATGAAAGTTCCCTTACTGGACTCCAGAAGTGCTGGGGATATCAGTACATGGTCCTTCCAAAACTGAAGTGGCCTCTTGCCATCTATGATATTCCGATCACAACAGTTACCAGATGGGAACAGAATACCAATAGTTTCCTCAGGAAGTGGTTAGGGGTGGGGCACACTCTGAGTGGTCTTTGTCTGTTCAGTCAATCATCCAGTGTGGCCTTACCGGTGAGCAGTTTGACAGATACATGGAAGATAGAGAAGTGTCGACTGTTGCAATCCTATCAGACATCTAAGGATGACCTGATTAAAGCAGTCAAGCCCCAAGTTCGTTCTGGTAGAGTTTGGAGGCCTGAGACAGAACTAGAAGAGGCCAGAAGAGATTTGGTCAGTGAATCGGTGCGAGGGATGGTGCAACCTCAAAAAAGAGTTGGCATCGGTTTTGGTGACTGGAAAAAACCTTGGGAGAGGATGGATGAGCGGGAAAGAGAGAGGGAGGTTATGCTGAGAGTGAAGGAGAACATTGAAAGAGAGAGGGAGGTGCAAGTAGGTTCTCTGGAGATGCAGAGTGAGATTGTGGAAACACGGCTGAGGCCGGACCTTGTGATATTCTCAAGGTCGGCAAAGACAGTTATTTGGTGGGAGCTAACAGTACCATCTGAAGAGCGGATCGCTGAATCGCACGAGTACAAGCTCGACCGATACAGCGGTCTGCAGGCTGAGATTCAGGCGAAAGGTTGGTGCTGTTATAATGCCGCAGTCGAAGTTGGAGCTAGGGGAGTGGTTGCGCAGAGTTTGGAGAGAGCTGCGAGGAGGATTGGTTTTAGGGGAAGAGAGCTGAAGAAGCTGGTACGGGACAGCGGGAAAGAGGCAGCCCACTGTTCCAGATGGATTTACTTGTTATCGAGAAAGAGGGAGTGGGAGTTCAGGAAGGTTGGAGCTTGAGAGTTCACTATAACATCTAGAGGTACCATAAACGTTATCTCGTCGCCAATTGCGAGCTCTAACGGGTCTCCTCAAGTGACTCTCGGATCAGATGGTGGTTCAAGGGTGGACTGCTGGGGCGCCTGACAGGAAACCGTATTGCGATTAAAGCCCCGAAACGGTGTCAGGTTGGTAACTGATGATTCTGATCCATGCTCCTGTGAGTTTGCTGTTGTATCTCAACTCGCTAAACTGAGGCATCTCCTCATCTTGGGTGAATATGCGTACATCTTCATACTAAACCCAGGTGCGGCATGTGTCAGTGAATACGGGAGAGCGGATGCAATAGCGAAGGAGGTGTGGCAAGGCCTAAAAGACACAGTCAGATAGTTGTCAGCTCGCTGACTGTAAGGGAGAAGGTATATCCGTATTTCGCTGCTACTGATGCAGTCCTTGATCTGGCAATCAAGGCTTCTCTGTTTTTCGTCTAACTATGTACCGTTGGGCTTGTGGAACCCTTAGTATATGATATAGGGGGGACATACATAGGTTAGAATGGTTTTGTGCACCAAGAGGAGTGAGGGAATGAGGGTTGAAGAGAGAGAGCTAGAGAGTTGTTAGGGTGGTTAGGATCAGTAGATGGAGTGTTTGGTTGGAGCGTTCTGTTTTTGCTGTATAGCATTTTAGTCACTCCGCATTTTATTAACTGTGTCTCAACTCTGTTTAAAAAGCAGCATTGGACTAAATATTGATCATGTCGGTCATTTTACTCGTATCCCATATCCCCTTCCAGTACAATTTTTTATGGTACCGGGGTTGTGTATGGCACTCGCCAGACAAAAAGATGAAAGATCAAACTTAAAGCTGACTATTGCGAGGCCGGTCATGGATGGCAAAACGATTTAAATTGCTGACGTTAAAGCAGCCTCTATGACTTACTTACACATATTAAAATATTAATATATGTCGACGAATATCGGCGACATTTATAAGATTAAATTAAATTTTGAATCTGACAGAGTTGCATTAGTGACGCTGACATCTTTTTGTATAGACAAATCAGTAGACTATAAACATGACTCGAAATAGAATATTACAATCTCTGTCGACAGATTTCGGCGACAGTTAATATAAAAATAAAATATGATTAGCTGTCACCGTGGGACAGACCGTACGTTCTACAAACACTATACTGCTATAAATATATTATTATTATAAATATTAATTTTAATATGCAGTTCTACAAACACTATACTGCTATAAATATATTATTATTTAAACATTATTATAAATATTAATTTTAATATGCAGTTCTCTTACTCTGTTATTCCTGACGTAGTAGAGAAAGGGGTTGAGAGTGGAGTTAATGAAAGGCATTACAACGTAGAGGGATGAAGCTACTACTCCCCCTGTTGGACTCCAGCTACCTGTAGTACTACGGGATTATTGAAGAGATTAAAGTTACATGGCACCTGCTGTGCTATATGTTGTACAAAACACAAGTAAATATTGTAATATTCTGTTTATAACAGTAAGTGTAAGGATTAGAGAGGAAGACCAAGGCAAACTTACTGACAATAGCAGACTCTGATAGAACATTCAGTGTCTTTAAGAAGCCTACGATTCCCATGAACCACCAGAATATATAGCAGGAAGTAAAGGCTACAGCAAGGAATATCATAGTAACTGCTGCTGTCTGGAAATTATATAATTAAACAATTTATTACAAACATGTCCAATCATAATGAATTGGACATGTTTGGGTAGTATTACTGTTGGGCAGTATTTCTCCCATAGCTAATACAGTGTCTAATTAAGCTAATTAAGCTAATTAAGCTAATTAAGCTAATTAAGCTAATTAAGCTAATTAAGCTAATTAAGCTAATTAAGCTAATTAAGCTAATTAAGCAAATTAAGCTAATTAAGCTAATTAAGGTAATTAAGCTAATTATAACCTGCTTCTCCATCTGCCTCTTCTTCAGCACATTTGTCCTCTTTTGCGAGGAGGAGGAGCCTCGCGAGAGGTCGTTTAGCTGGATCTTGTTGGCGATTATCTTGTTGGCGAGTAGCAACTTGAAGGTAACCGCAGCACAACATGATACTAGGATAATAGCTGGCAGGATGACCGGGCAGATGTACAGGAGGAAGTACATGGGAGATATCCACGAGGTACTTTTCTCGAACACTACCTGCGTTATATTTCATTAACTTCACCAACAATGATTGCTTTGTTCTAATTTTGCTTCCTTGAGTAATACCTGAATTTCATTAATTAACTTCCTCGAACGATAACTTTTTCCATTTAGTTAACTCCCTCAGACAATTCCCAATAATCATACTATATATAAAGCGAGACGATATATATATATATATATAATATGTATTAAACGGATTATGTATACAGTATTTGACCAAAACCCATAATCATGGGTAGAGTGTACCGCTGCCAGTGTCTCTCTTTTCCAAACAAAAGGAAATGATATTAATTTGAGGAACAGTCCGCTAATGCAAATTGATACCGAGAATGAAATCGGTCGCTCGCTTTTTCAAATCAATAAGCTTTATTACAATTCGTAAGCCGTGATCGAATGGAAAAAGCGAGCGACCGATTTCATTCTCGGTATCAATTTGCATTAGCGGACTGTTCCTCAAATTAATATCATTTCCTTTTGTTTGGAAAAGAGAGACACTGGCAGCGGTACACTCTACCCATGATTATGGGTTTTGGTCAAATATCATCTCTTTTTGATTATAATGTCAGGATAATTTACACAGCTAGTCGAAACTTCATTAACAAGGAGGTAATTTCGACGATTTCGAAATTCTGCCTTTGAAAACGTTTCCTTGTGTTTAGTTAGGTATTTCTGTCGATAACCGACTGAATATGGCACTTTTTACTCATTCAAGTTGGCATTAAATTCGTATATAATGCCATTTAAATATCGTGGAAAGCAGAATATATTCGAAATCACGAATGAGCAAATTTCTCACCTTTCGCACGTGCAAACTTTGAGCGGACGTCGCGTGCGCATACAATATTGAATCACCGTAAATTTTTGCATTGTGGTATTTAATATATAGTTTGATAAGCATGCAAAGTTTCAGAAGATTTCAAAAAGAACTTGGATCACAACGGGACTCCAAAGTTGATAAAAATCGTGAAAATCAAAATTTTTAGCGATTTTAGCTATTTTAAATGAATTTGGGCGTGTCCCCACGTGTGCAACTTTTCGATTTTTAACTTTAAAACTAGCCTATAACACAATTTACACCTTTAAGAAGCAAAATTGAGCTCCACAACCCAAGGGATGGCCCAACACCAGAGAATACTAATTCACAACTTTTGTGTTTTTATAAAATTATTCTTCAAAAAAGCACTAACTTCAATAGCAAATATCTTTATGAAGGAGCAAGGTAGGAAACTATTCCGGTAGATTTTCGGAATGCTTGAACAATTATCTAAGATGAAAATGTCTTCAGATTTTGAATAAAATTACTCCTTAATAGTGTAAAATCGATTTAAAAAGTTGTTACTTTGTCAAAAGTCAAGTTTTAAAAACACTTAACTTGATGACGTCATCAAGTGATGATGATGACGTTAAATTATTTTTCAATACAATGTAAACTAAAGCTTAAACAATTATCTTTAAAACCTGTGGTTCGAGATGACTGTATCGTTTATACTTTTGAATCTACGGACACTTAAATGTAGGCTACAATTGATTGCAAAAAGCGTCTATACATATATACATATATATATACATATATATCTACACGACAATCTGTTGTAAAACAGGGGTTCGAGAAAACCCACTTCCCGATACTCCTGAAACATGAAATTTTTTTTACAGTCGATTTGGACAAGGTCTAGACGCCCTGCAAAGTTTCAGATCTCTAACTCAATTTTAACATGGTTTTTAAGGCACCTGAATATGGCGATTTTGGGTTTTTTACCTAATTTCGTATAACATGCTGGCGCGTATTTTGCGCAGATTTCTTAAAAACCTCCATATAACTATTTCTTATTCCTGTCATCTTCAACATTGAATTAGAATGTTTTGAACTTAAATGTACCTGCTGAACTACTTTCGATGAGTCTTAATGCCTGGAAAACAATAAAGGGGATATAATCGTATAGGGGGTAAATAGTGTTGTGAATATAAGGGCGACGGTAATGCTTGCCAGCATTGTGATATATATTATATAATACATATATATATATCCGTACCATTTTACTGACACCACGGCATCAACTTTAACACGACTTTCCGCATAAAACGTAAAAGATATACAACTTGAACTTTTTTGGCTGGTTCAAATGAATTATTGGCCTTCAAATCAGCATCGGAGTTTTCTACTTTTGAGAAAATCTAATGTTGTTTATTCATTGTGTAAATTTGTATGTAATTGATCGATTTGAAAGATTTCAATAAAAAAGCATGAAAAAATAAAAAATTGGCCAAGGAATAAGAATTTGAATGCCCAAAATTTGAACCCCAGTGGTATCAAAAACGCGAATTAAATAGTTATTTTAATATATTGAGTCTTGACACCACTTTAGGGTTAGACGGGTTCCTGCTTGTCTAATTAAGTCATATGATTATTATTTCAAGAAAATTTCTGATTTTTCTGAATAGAATCATATCAATGAAGACAATGTTCTTCATAAGAACATTTTTATCACTGAGCCTATTCAGAAAAAATCAGACATTTTCTTGAAAGAATCCTCAGACAGTAGTGATACCTCCGAATCTAAAATTAACTTCATCGATCAATAGCTTTTATCTAGTATTTAACGATTTCATTGTCTAGTCATTGCAGATGAAATTATTTAAATAATGATATGCTCAACCTCCTGTTGTCGCGAGAAATTGAATACAAATTAAATTCAGGTTTTTACGTTAAAATACTGAAGGTGAAGGTGAAGGTGAAGGTGAAGGTGAAGGTGAAGGTGAAGGTAAAGGTGAATGTGAAGGTGAAGGTGAAGGTGAAGGTGAAGGTGAAGGTGAAGGTGAAGGTGA